GCGCTCTTTGTTGATTGACTTCGATGATTATACCATATTCACTTCTTCTGTTACTCTGTTTGTTCTATATATCACATAACAAGCTTTTACTTAGTTTAACATGTCCTTGTGTCTGTTTGTAATCAAAACGTGCAAGTTAAATTTGACTCACTTTAAATCGTCATATTGATTTGAAATTTGGCAAGTAAATATATTATTCCGGTGACAATTCGTTGTGATATCATTATTGAATGGAAAAAACAGAATGGCGGATCCAATATGGCGGACGATTTTCTCATTGATTATGTTCCGATTCGAATCAAAATTCAATATTCAAGATGGTGAATCCAATGTGGCATATGGTTTTCTGATTATGGTCTGATCTGATTCAAAATTGGCATCTGAAGGATTTCGGGATCAGAGATTATACCTAATTCCTTTTGTCGAAAATGAAAAATCCAAGATGTCGGCTTCAAAATGGCGGACGAGTTTTGTGATTATAGTCAGATTTTATTCAAAATTGATTACTATGGGACTTTTGGGGTCGGAGAATATGATTTTTTTGTGGAAATTCGAGAATCTAACACGAAGGCTACAAAATGTCGGACGAAAAAATTCAAAAACATCACTTTTGTTGAAAATAAAAAAAAACTGAACAATTGAAAATGAAAAACGTGAAGAGATGACATTTTGTTTCTCTTCAGAAAATAACTTACATTATTGTTCTATAAGTCGAATTGGCGTACTGGAATGTACGTCTTTGAGACGTCTTTTATACGACATGGGAGGAACGACGTGGATACGACCTAAAATGTACGTCTTAAAGACGTAAATTCGTGTACGTCTTTAAGATGTACATGGATTTACATCTTATATAAAGACGTACTTTATACGTCCCTGGACGTAAAGACGTAAGTAAGTCGTAAAATGTACGTCTTTAAGATGTCTGGTGCTGATTGGGTTGCTAGGGTAGGTAGAACATTGCAAAATAAGTTGGGTTTGCTCAGTGAAAAAATGTCGTAACGGCATCGTAAAAAATGTGTAACAAAATATACGGATGGCGTTACGACATTTTTTTACTGAGCAAACCCAACTTATTTTGCAATGTTCTACCTACCCTAGCAAGGGGGTTAGTTTTTTTTTTAATCTGAGATCTGAGATCACAAAAAATCACAGATTCCGAATTAAATATAAAATACACGCTTTCACAGATCACCCTGTAAAACTTCTGGTAAGGGTTGTGAATAGGCTTCATTGCGTCATTCATCTTCCGCATATTGTTTTTTTTTCTCGATAAAATAATAAGGTAAATATAGGGGTGGGCCTATTCGAAGGATAACCCTGAATACATATTTCCGCCATGAATACATTGGTCTATAATGTATAGGCCTATGGGTTCGAATCCTTTTTCTCACGCTCTTTTTTATTTTGTTTTTTGTTTTCGTGAAGTGAATAATTCAAAAACATACTGTGGAGACATTAACTGTTGAGGTCGATAGTGATTCGCTATTTCAATAATCGGAAATTTTCTGTGGACAATAATTTATGGACGCCAACTTCCTAGAAGTGATGCGACGTCGCTTTTGTGTTAAGAAAAAAAAATCTTAACCAGAGTAGGTGCTGAAACGGGCACTCGCAAGATACAAAAAGAATCTCAAAATTAACCTATATTTATACTCAGCTGTCAGCCGTAGCGATATAGGGGGAGTAAATATTATTAATATAGTTCAATTTATGGGCGCCACTAGCTTAAGGGAGTTTAGACTAGAAAACTCCCTTGATGTTTGAGGGACCCACTCTTTAAAAGTGTTTGGGGCATTCATTCAGAATCGAAAACAAAACAGTGGAATGCAATATAGGAAATGTACTTGGGTGATTATCAGATAATATGACAAGTCAAGTGATAACGTGTTATCACAAAAAAAATTATCTATCCTCTATAGGCTATACGTAAAAGAGGTAGGTATATTCCTGATGTATTATATATATCTATATATGTTTTATTTTCTTTTCGTGTTCAATAAGTGACCCCTTTTTTTTTGTTTAATGATTCACCAAAACAATGAATTCGATTAATAATTCAAAACTACCGGACATGCGCATGTGAGGTTGACATGAGTTTATAATAGGCCACTTATAAGTGTAGAAAAAGAAATAGATTGAAAATATCCCAAGTGAAACTATTCTATAGTTCAATCGAACCTAACGAAACTAAAATAATCACATATGTCTCAAATTCACTAAGTTGCTTAAACTCCAATATAGGAGACACTAAAATAATGTAGAAAACAGAGCAAATTAGTCATGCTCGCCGCTCGGTCGAATAAACGAACAAATAGAATTATGATCTCAAAATGATATAATGGGCTTATCTGTGGATCTTGGAGTTCTACCCAAGATGCGAATTTTCCCCCGATGAATCGAATCCTGACAGTCAGCGCCTCATACTTGGTAGTTTGGATGTTACAAGTGTTGCGTCAGGAAAGATTCAGATGTATCAACAAGGTCCTTGATTTTGCCAACTTCTAGGTATAGTACTATGCATAAAAGAGAATCCAGGTATTCACTTATTCTTGTACAAAAACCCTAAAAATCGAATAGTGAATCAGAATAGATAATGTCGTAATGGTTATCCATTAAATATACACTTTCACTCGTACACTCTGTATGAGGAAATGAAAATATTACATACCTCTCAGTGAGGGTTTTCGTCGTATAAAAAAATAACCGGTACTGGATTGCTTCGATAGCGTGGTAGGAATTTCTATCAGCCGAAATCAAATCCTTCCTAAGAAGATAGTGCCCCCTTTTCCAAATAGTAGCTCAAATCAATTACCACCAAAAAGGGTCACCCGATGGAATGAGTTTTGCAATATTTATTCCACAAATTGGCTGAAAATCACTTCAGAAATCTCGCAACTCTTCGTACCAACAGATTCACAATGGACTGCCATCACATCCAAAACCACACTCTATCTTCGATACATTGCTTTGATATCATTCTCGAATAATGAAGAAAAACGCATTCTTCCTCACTTACGCTCATAAGAATCCTATTAGCAAAAACAAATTGAAGGAATCCTTCCTTTAATTGTTGATTTACTTTGAAAAGTGAATGCATACGCCATCTATCTTCCGCAGCCAACACTGAACCACTGAACTCATTGATTACGGTAAGCGTCCTGCCATTAATTGAGTACCCGATAATAGTTGATCCCCTATCGGCCAGGTTGATCCACGCATACCAGATCGAGAAATATATCGATATCAATTCGACCAACAGAAATAAAAAGAACTATTGTTGTAACTAGGGAATTGATCGTTACAGTGACTTTGTCTGTCTGTTTTAATTCCGAGTACGTTCCAGATCAGATTTTGGTGCCTCTATTAAGGTGGATTCATGCAAGCAAAATTTCAAACTTAAACTCAAATCAATAATATAAAACTATGAAATGTAATGTAGGTGCTCATGCAAAAAACTAAAAAATTAAAACTAAAATTGAAACTAAGAAAGATGGCCAACATTCAACTAAGCAGCTGACTTCAATCTATTGTTTATTTCTTTGTCACGTTTGTATCTTCAACAACACGAGTATTTTCTGGATTTTCCAATTGACAGATGGGTAGATATAGGTAGGTACTGAAAAAAATGAGGTGCATCTACAGGGTATATCTAAATAACAGAGAAAACTTTCAAGTGGTGATTTCGTGACGAAAATTGAGGTGGGCGTTTGGTATGCATTTTTTTGAAAAATCCCTTCTCAAAATTAGAAAAATGGTTTTTCTTTTTCATTTTCTCTGTATATGACTAAAGGCACAGAACTTGTTTATATTATTCATCAATAAAACTACACATTTTGGAATGTTTTCAACCCTGAAGTATGCTTAGAAGGGCTTGAAATATTCAACGCCTAAGATTTTTTTGACAACTTTTTTTTATAAACACTTTTTTTTTGAACACAAGGCGAATGCTTTTCCAGAGATCAACAATAAGTTAGTAAATGGATTGGGCTTTTCAGCTGTTTTTTTTTTAAGTTGTAAAATAAATATATTTCAACCCCTTCTAAGCATACTTCAGGGTGTGACACATTTCAAAATGTGTAGTTTTATTGACACATGATATTTACCAAGTTTCGTGTCTTTAACTAAATATACAGGGAAGTTAAAAAATAAAAACCATGTTTTTTTCATCTTCGGATGTGTGTAACTCATCCGGGGTTGAGAGGGTTATCAAAAAATTCTATACCAAATACCTTCATTCTCATCACATCAGAATCACCCCTTTAATTTTTTCGATGTTATATAGATACACTCTGTATATGAATTCATTAATGTATAATCTTAGGTATGCCTCATACTGGTATTGAGTGCCATTGATCTCCTTTTGATCCTCTTCAGTTTAATGGCGGCCAAAAGAGAAGTGCATCCTAAGTTAATGTTCCATTTTTGAATTGTAACTAACTTCAAACGTCTGAAACTTTATATTGATGTCAACACTATTCACAGTAATCGATACACATTCTAGCACTTCTGCTTAAACTAATAATTCCATGCTCTTCTCGTCTGTTTATAATAAAAACAATCGCGGCATATTCGCGTCCATGTTGATATCACATCCTTCACTCGGCATAGATCGACATTCCGACAATCTGCTATTGAAATATTCCTGGAATTTTCGAAAAGCATATCTAATGGATATTCGATAAACATATTCAGGGAATATTCTTTGGGGATATCTAATGAATATTCGAAAAATATATTCCAGGAATATTCTTTGAGGATATTAGATCAGACACATATTCATGGAATATTCCAGGGATAATGCAATATTCATTGGAAAATTGGATGTAGTAGGCATATTCCAGGAATATGAGGTGCCGTCTGGGAGATGGCATCAATTGTTGAGGTCGATAGTGATTCGCTATTCCAATGATCAGAAATTTTCTATGGGCAATATATGACGCCAACTTCCTAGACGCAACTGACCTTTTCTGCTTGTTTTAATTCCGAGTACGTTTCAGATCAGATTTTGGTGCCTGTATTAGAAGCTACAGAGGACCCGTTGATAACGAACATGACGTTAACTCTGATATGCGAAGCTTGGCTGGACCACATTTACACGAACAAAATAAAATTCAGCCATTTCGGTGCTCGACAGTTGCTCACAGATTTCGGATATATCACGAAATGGCTGGCAGATTATCCGACCGTTAGCGAATCGATGAGGAAAAAGTTGTTGAAAAATGAGATTCTGAAGAGGTGCGAGGGCGTAGGGAGGCTCTTGTTGAGAAAACCTGGCGAGAGGATAAAGATGACGGAAAAAAATAAAAGGAGGAGTTCAGGTGAGGAACCCTAATTTCAGTTTTTAGTTTCACTTATATCATAACAGCTTGAATTATTTCCGTTTTTATTTGAGGTCAGCACAATATTCTTAAAATTTTCAATCATATTTTCCCTATTGCTTTCCTCCTGAGGTATGTAAGTAACTGTGTATAAAGCTACTATTTTTCCTTCAGAGTGAGTGGATTAATAGAGGAACGACGACAAAATGTGAAAGGTATCTCACATGCAGTAATGAATTTGCGCCTTCGAAGTGCCCACCTGATGTTAGGTTTAGATATTTGATATTTTCATTTCATCATCTGAATAATCTGAGACTTACGAGTCCCAAAAGACGGATTCTAATAGGTAATTTCCAAAAAATAAATGTTGAAAAAAGATATGACTCAAGTGCAATTTCAAATCTAACTTGATAATGTAACTGTTACACTCTACATGGTATTACAAATTTCATGAAAGAAAATGCTATAATTGGTACATCCGGTATTGATAAAATTATGCGAATACCAGTTTGCACGTCAATATTCAGAAGGAGATAACATGTCATTCAAAACTCTCTCTGCAGATAATGCGGTAAAGGGACCGAAACGGCCAAACACTTATTAATAGAATGCGAGGCATTGGAACGCAATAGGAGACAAGAAATATTCGGGTAGCCTAGGCTGACTCCCGAAGAATACAACAGCCAACCGGTGAAGGACCTGTACAGAATCGTGCAGGGAATAAGAGCTACGGAATGGGTCGTTACCACCGATACAACAAGGCCAGCAGACTCTGACGTAAACAGCTCGTGACGTCACCAAGAGAGGCCAGTGTTTTATTTTATCGCTTGTCGACTAACGCGTCAGTTCGTGTTAATTCATCGGTGATTCACGTATGTTTTTGAAACGGTCCCGAATTCTTTTGTTGTTTATTCATCAAAATAATTGGCGGAAAAATTACTGTTTTGTGAAATATTTTGTGTTGTGATCGGCGAAATAACAATGCCTTTCAAGTGTTGTGTTCCCTTTTGTCGGGGGAATTATGTGGGTGGTTCAAAAGTTCATGCCTTTAGTTTCCCGTTGGACGAGGAGCTATCGAAAATGTGGGTATATGCAATTCACCGCGAGGATTTCACTCCATCTAAGTTCAGTAGTAAACAGAGCTTAATTCATAATGATGAATTAATAATAGAAGACAATTACTCTCTCATAAAAAGTATAAGTAGAGGAAAAATAGAAAAGCTTTGATTGTGCAGTTAGTTTTGTATTCGAATATTATAGTCAACAAAATCATCTCTGAATTCGAGGAAATTTTCTTGAATGTACATAATAAACGGGCATTTTTAATTCTCATTCTCAAATTTCTTTCTGAAAACGGTCATTTGCCTCGTGGCAATGAATGCAAAATTCATTCCAATGATCAAATTGCAACTATCATATTAACATGAACTACAAACACTCTACTTAAAAAGGCAAAACTGGATTTATCATGATATTTATCATGAAGATATTTGACTAAAAAGTTCCAAATTTCACCTTCTTTTTCACCTGTCTTCTGGATGGCATTTAGAACAAATTTCCCTTCTTTTTTCATCATATTGGACAATTTATATATAATTCAACTATATATATGATTTTCTTGAGATTAATCCATACTTAGTGAAAAGAAGGAAGAATATCATTCAAAATAATGGCGTGTGTAATGTCATTCGAAAGCAATCTATTGACATTTGACATCTCGTATTTTGATTGACTATTGATTAAATGGTCGTCATCTGGAATGCTTGTTCACTAAATATGAAAAACTCGCCATAAAAATCATATTTCCTGTTGAATTTTCTATATAAATATGTGTCATCGAAGTACATCATGAGTATATAAAGTGTCCAATGACAAAATAAGAGCAAGTAGCTTCAAATGCCCCCAACACAAGGGGAGAAAGAAGGCGAAATTTCGAACTTTTTCTTGAAATATCTCAATAAATAGTGGTTTGTTCACATTTTCATTATAAAATTCGGTTTATCAGACAAAAGTACTTGAGTACCGAAAAAAAATTTTCAAAAAAAAAAACCATCGCATGATAAATGCAGTTTTACCCTTAAAAATTACGGTTTCAAGTGTAACGATCCACTTGGGTGAAAAATCCAACAACAGAAAATTGAAAACACTCACTGGTTATTTTTTCAGGTAATAGGAATTCTCCAAGATAAATATAGGTAATTGTAACAAACGGCATGTCTATCAAAATAAAATACATTTTCCACAATTTTCTTTCGATCATTCTCACGATAAGTTTATGTTCTGCGGGCCCTGTATAAGTAGGTGTGAAGTTTACCTTCACCACAATTTTTGCCAATATATTTAATTCGAATGGGTTGCTGTAGGTGGATATTTGTGTTTTATCCTGGTTTTTGCAAACTTCGTTTTTCCATAATAAAATCGAATGGGGTGTGAAGAAGGGCTCAGTTGACGACTGGCATCCTTTTTTAACCGGAAGCCCTTCAAAAAACAGCAAAATCGGCTCAATGATGATCTAAAACTAATATCGAAATACGCGGTCGCCTTATAGCGCTATAAGCGCTTGTCGTTTCGAGCCGCTGGTTAGGCCTTACTAAGTGACGTCACCCACGGAGCATGCAGGCCTTGTTGTATCGGTGGTAACGAATGGGTGCTGTAAAATGCACTGGAATGCACAAATAGCCCAGGAGGCTGAGGTGTAGCCGGTGACAGAACCAGCATCCAAGGAAAAAAACGTCCAAATCAGACGAAAATGTAACTGAAACTATTGGATACTTTTCGGTAGTGCCTTAATTTTTTAGGGAAGTGTGTATGTGAGTGACTGCATACAGCTATCATTTTCCTGAGGGAAAACATGATTAAAAAACCTTTAAAAAATCCAACCCTATCAATTTTTCACCTTGATGATATTCTCACAGAAAATAGGTTGAGACAAGAGAAGAAGAATTACTATATGCACATTTACTTGCATTCCTAAGGAGGAGAGCAACAAGGAGAATATGTTTAGATAAAGTTCACGATATCAAATAGTATATCATGTAACAAGTGTTATAAACGTCCTTTTAGTAACGAGTAGTTTAAACACGAGCGGAGCAGAGCGGAGCAGAGCGAAGCGAGTGTTTAATAAACGAGTGTCTAGAAGAGTTTATAAACGCGTAACATACTATGATTTTTCTAACGAACTCCGAAAATTACATTAACATACCTGCAATTCCTGCTAACCTACAAAATAATTCGAAAGGAATGGGAATTGAGAACATAATAGATGCAACTGCATGCAACCAGCGAGACACGTATAAGTGATATTGGTTGTAGATGTGTCCAGTCCATTGCTTACTAACCTTTGTTTCACGTTTATTTTCATGCTTAGCGCAGAATAAATAAATAATTGTTCCCAAAGATGGATGATTCATTTTTACACTTCTTGGAGATTTGCAAGTACCAGAACATTCCCTTCGATTTCACTTTCGTCTACTTTTCGCATATATTTTCAATGAAGAATTCTGATACAAACGAATATTGTTTGAATAATTCTGATACAAAATTCGAAAATAACAGTTGACAGTTAATACAATTGACAGGACAGACATGTCTCAAATTACTGAAGATGTGTTTGATGAACTGCGTTGCCATGGTAATGTGGTTAAGAAATCGTGTTGCCATGGTAACGTGTTTGATATTTTGAATAAATCACAGATGGACAATCCGTGATTAATCGATCATTTAGCGTGGTACATATCCGTACGCTAAATACCATTTTAGTTATGTAAGTAGAGAAACAAATTTATATATTACTCCATACAGGGTGTCCGCTAAAAGGAGGTCAATCCATCAACCGTATATTCCTTGAACAAAAACAATATGTGTTTCTAAATACCATTTTTCAATGTTGCCCTTTATATTCGATATACAGGGTAGGGTGTCAAAGTTGGAAATTAAAAACTGTGATTTTTTAATTACTCGCGTATTTTATAAGATATTAATCTCAAAATCGGTACATTACTCCAGCACAAAGAGTTACATGGTGTGAGGAAACCAAACCGAAAATAACTGTCAAATATTCAAAATACTGGGGATCAAGTACACACTTACCCCCATTTTTTTTTTGTACGTGCGTTAATAACTTCCTATCTATTTTTCTTCAAGTGTTCAATCATTTTTGAGTATTTTTTTTCTCTTGTAAAATTTCGATTAATTTATTTGTTTTTAGGATAATTCGAAAAGTACTAGTTATTGTTTGATGTCTATGCGGCTTACAATCTCATAATGTTCACATAGTCCTATTTATTTCGTCGAAATTGAAAGAGGGCGTAACTTTTTACGTACGAGAAGGTAAATATGGAAATGCCGGGTGCTCAGAGCGAATGTATTAAAATAATTTTTACAAAACAAAAATTTATAGAAATTCAACACGGCTAAAAAAAAAGGTTGCTCGATATGAACTCCAAATTTTTTGAATACACATGCGAGCCCTTTTAATTAATAGTTATGTATGCAACAAGTGCAAAAAGTGAATGCAATAAACAATTTTTGCACGAGTAACATACAACATTTTTTCTACGTTCATGCAAAAAGCGAAAAATGATTTATTGAGGTGAGGCACTAGGTACAATTCTGTTAAATGTCCGAATTAATTTTTGACTGACGTTTCTATAACCACAGTTGCAATATAAAAAATGTTTGTCATGATGACAGCACGTTGAAGTAGAATGACAGATGAGTGCAATAAAAACTTTATTGCACTAAGTGCAATAAAGAACTTCTTTTTCCACTAAATATAGTTCAATAAAGTTCTGCTTTTTGCATGAATGTAGAAAAAGAAAATATTAGCCTATGAAAAATATGTGTCTTATACACAAAATCTTTCATAGATCCCCAGACAATCCTGATCTGCTATTTTTTTCATCAAGTAGCTATTAAAATGTATCATGTATCCATGAGTAATGGATCAAAAGAAGAGGTTTGTAGGGAGGGTCATTTGTAATCAAACTAACGGCATATGTTGTTATCAAATTGTTGATGGTTCAAAAGTTATTCAATATTTCTAAAAAATGCGACCCATTTGAAAAAAATTAATAACAAAAGGCTATTTTGAATATCCCCATATGTTATACCATATTGTAATCTGTATTAAATATAGGCAACTTTTTCTTTATTTATTATTTATCTTTGTGGGGTAGTTTTTAAATCTGCCAGCGTTATTTAAAAATCGACTAAAATATTTCATTCGATGACAAAACTCATGAAAAACCACATATTTATCAGGTAATTAAAATAAATAATAAATAAATAAATATCTTTATTTTCCTTTATACTTCCTAAAAAAGTATAGGAATAGTCAGGTTGTTACAAATATATAAATCTAAAACTGGATAAATGACAGATTACATAATATGATAGACGAACATTATATAAAAGAGGGAAACATGGTCATTTATGAAAATATTCGTTAAGCGAGTAGAAACACTTTTCTATGGTGTATTACTCAAAATATTTGTTCTGCTTGGTTGAATATAGAATTCGTTCCTCGAGCGAGTATTCACATCATGTTTATCACTGTAGCGAGCAAACAGTTGCTTGTTGACAAATACATAGATACTTAATTCAAATATAAGGAGGCAGGGCAGCGTTAATATCTTCAACCTTATGAAATAAGGCTTGCAGGAATCCATTCTCTGAATGCCAATCATACTTCTTACAGCCTTTTTTTGAGCCAGACAAATATCCTTCGCTAATGAACCCCAGAAACATAAATACCATATCGGATACGTGAGTCCACTTGAGCAAAGTAGAGACTGCACAATTGATTTAAATTCAAGGTATTTCTCAGAGTCCCGAGTTGAAAACTCATAACATTAATTTTTTTCACAATGTATTCACAGTGCTTATTCCAGGTAAAACATTCATCAAGAAATACGCCTAAGAATTTAACAACCTCCTGATTCGTGTTTAGGGTTGACTCACCCACCCTAAAGCTCAGATCATTACATTGTTTTTGTCTCGAATGGAATCTAACTGATGATGATGAAACAGTTATACATGGCAAAATTATTTCTGGGTAGAGGTGCATCCATGTGGATGGAATTTGTAAAAGAAAAAATCATAAATGTGACATAGTTTTATTGTAAATAATTCTTTTTATAGCAATGAAAAAACTGTTGAATCATCAATAATTGGATCACATATACGGTTAGTTTGATTAGAAATGACCCCCCCTACCACCCCACTTCTTTTGATCCATTACTTATGGGACACCCCGTATATTTTGATATGTTTCTTGGGGTAATAAAAATAATCAATCAATCATCAATGAAACAAAAATTCAGAATCTGAAAAAATAGGAAAACTGCTTGGTCGAAATCTATGATTGTTCTAAGAAGAAATTGTTCTAAAATTGTTCTATCCGCCATTCGGTTGCCCCCTGAGCAACCCTCAGAAGTCTTCGAGAGTCTGGTGCGAGCAAGGAATGACGGGGGCCTTACCTTTTAACGTGTGATCCCAAACACTTTCTTGGACCATCAGAAAAATTTCTGCAGTCGCTGGGAATTGAAACCACGACCGGCAAGCGAATGCGGATTAGAATATTGACACTCTGTCCGGACGGCTACCTGGCCCCCATGATGGAACCAAAATTTATCAGAAAATTTCAATTTCGCGTTTGATATTAGAAAATCGTGGTCACCAGAAATAGATATACCTGGCCTTTCAACAATCAATTTTCAATTTCCCAGGTAATCATCAGCAACTGATTGATAGATTGATATAAGAAAATCGTTATTAGAATGATAGAAAATAGATTAATATCAGAAAATCGTGGTTTCTAGAATTAGATATACCTGGCATTTCAACAATCAATTTTCAATTTCCCAGGTAATCATCAGCAACTGATTCATAGAAAATCGTTATTAGAATGATAGATAATACTTCTAAATCTCATAACTAAGAGATCTAGGATGAACAGACTTGCCCCAATTGTCAGCAGGAGCGAGACAGTACTGTTTCGACCCACTAGGTCTCATCAGCCGCTCTCGGTCTGCTGACAACTGGGACAACTCTACGCTTCGGGTATAACACCCATTTCGAAGACGCAGGGTATGACATGAAGTTGTAGTCATGTTGTAGCCATCTTGTGGCGAAGCTCTGAGGTAGGATACAACATGACTACAACTTCATGTCATACCCTGCGTCTCCGAAATGGGTGTTATACCCGAAGCGTAGAGTTGTCCCAGTTGTCAGCAGACCGAGAGCGGCTGATGAGACCTGGTGGGTCGAAACAGTACTGTCTCGCTCCTGCTGACAATTGGGGCAAGTCTGTTCATCCTAGATCTCTTAGTTATGAGATTTAGTAGTTGAATAGGTGGTGGAAAAATTCCACTCAAGTATGTCAGGTAGTGCCATCTGTCAGCAGAGTGATTTACTTGTAGTACCACTCTGTAGCGTATAGACGTAGGGGTCTGTACGTGTGACTATAGATGGCAGCGCCATACAGTGTATGTCGCGATATCTCTGTATCCTACCTCAGGGCTTTGCCACAAGATGGCTACAACATGACTACAACTTCATGTCATACCCTGCGTGATAGATAATAGATTGATATTTGAAAATCGAGGTCACTAGAATTAGACCTACCCATAGTGACATATCAATGAATTTTATTATTAATTCTTAAGATAATCAGCAAATATTCAATGTTGTAAATTGAAGTACGGATATCAGAATAATAATCCGCCATGATTATTGAAACTGCTTCAATAACCAATATATTATTATGGTCATCAGAATAGGCCTGAATATCGTACCATTAATGCATAAGTACTTCTGATTTTCATTCCAGATTCATCTGATAGAGAAAAATCTGAGTTGATGCCAGCAGAGATGTATGTTCCAAATCAAGAACAATGGCTGGAACTTAGGGTGATGAAACAAAAAAATATATTCACAACTCTGATGTGTTGTGAAGAACCCTGAATGAAGGAATCTTTCAATTTATATAGATCCTTATGCTGTTAATTTTTTATACACAGGGTGGTCCTTGATTGAATGCACATAAAAGTGTGGCAGGTTTTTGGCTTCAAAATATTACGATATTGCTAATAAGAAATATACAGGGTGTCAAAGTTGAAATTTCGAAACTAGGGGTTTTTGGATATTAGCAATCATAATTTGGTACCTATTTCAATGTATTTTCTTGAGGGCGCCAGATAAGACACTTTTCTGGTAAAAATGCGCGATCAAAACTTGTTTGTTGTTCTCAGGATAGCGACATTTTCATTGAAACATATTAAAGACAGATCCTCTGAGCAGAAATAAGTGATACTCAACTCGACAGTATTCGAGATAATCCGTTACCACCGATAAAACAAGGCCTGCATGCTCCGTGGGTGACGTCACTTAGTCAGGCCTAACCAGCGGCTCGAAACGACAAGCGCTTATAGCGCTATAAGGCGACCGCGCATTTCGATTTTAGTTTTAGATCATCATTGAGCCGATTTTGCTGTTTTTTGAAGGGCTTCCGGTTAAAAAAGGATGCCAGTCGTCAACTGAGCCCTTCTTCGCACCCCACTCGATTTTATTATGGAAAAAGGAAGTTTTAAAGCAAAAACCAGGATAAAACACAAATATCCACCTACAGCAACCAATTCGAATGAAATATATTGGCAAAAATTGTGGTGAACGTAAACTTCACACCTACTTATACAGGGCCCGCAGAACATATTATAAACTTATCGTGAGATTGATCGAAAGAAAATTGTGGAAAATGTATTTTATTTTGATTGACATGCCGTTTGTTACAATTACCTATATTTATCTTGGAGAATTCCTATTACCTGAAAAAATAACCAGTGAGTGTTTTCAATTTTCTGTTGTTGGATTTTTCACCCAAGTGACACTTGAAACCGTAATTTTTAAGGGTAAAACTGCATTTATCATGCGATGGTTTTTTTTTGAAAATTTTTTTTTGGTACTCACGTATTTTTGTCTGAGAAAACGAATTTTATAATGAAAATGTGAACAAACCACTATTTATTGAGATATTTCAAGAAAAAGTTCGAAATTTTCGCTTCTTTCTCCCCTTGTGTTGGGGGCATTTGAAGCTACTTGCTCTTATTTTGTCATTGGACACTTTATATACTCATGATGTACTTCGATGGCACATTTTTATATAGGAAATTCAACAGGAAATATGATTTTCATGGCGAGTTTTTCATATTTAGTGAACAAGCATTCCAGATGACGACCATTTAATCAATAGTCAATCAAAATACGAGATGTCAAATGTCAATAGATTGCTTTCGAATGACATTACACACGCCATTATTTTGAATGATATTCTTCCTTCTTTTCACTAAATATGGATTAATCTCAAGAAAATCATATTTATAGTTGAATTATATATAAATTGTCCAATATGATGAAAAAAGAAGTGAAATTTGTTCTAAATGCCATCCAGAAGACAGGTGAAAAAGAAGGTGAAATTTGGAACCTTTTAGTCAAATATCTTCATGATAAATATCATGATAAATGCAGTTTTACCATTTTAAGTAGAGTGTTTGTAGTTCATGTTAATATGATAGTTGCAATTTGATCATTGGAATGAATTCTGCATTCATTGCTGCCACGAGGCAAATGACCGTTTTCAGAAAGAAATTTGAGAATGAGAATTAAAAATGCCCGTTTATTATGAACATTCAAGAAAATTTCCTCGAATTCAGAGATGATTTTGTTGACTATAATATACGAATACAAAACTAACTGTACAATCAAAGCTCTCTATTTTTCCTCTACTTATACTTTTTATGAGAGAGTAATTGTCTTCTATTATTAATTCATCATCATAAATTAAGCTCTGTTAACTACTGAACTTAGATGGAGTAAAATCCTCGCGGTAAATTGCATATACCCACATTTTCGATAGCTCCTCGTCCAACGGGAAACTAAAAGCATGAACTTTTGAACCACCCACATAATTCCCCCGACAAAAGCGAACACAATACTTGAAAGGTATTGTTATTTCGCCGATCACAACACGAAATATTTCACAAAACAGTAATTTTTCCTCCAATTATTTTGATGAATAAACAACAAATGAATTCGGGACCGTTTCAAAAACATACGTGAATCACCGATGAATTAACACGAACTGACGCGTTAGTCGTCAAGCGATAAAATAAAACACAGAGTCTGTTGGCCTTGTTGTATTGGTGGTAACGGATAATCGCATTTTAGGAATAACCTGCATAATTCTCATTCTCCTTATTAGGGGTAATATCAACGTAGTGAAAGCGTCTAGGCTAGTGATGTTCAGACAGCTTAAGATCAACATAGGCAGCCGTCAAGGATCATTTTGATAGTTGAACAACCTTTTTTCTGTAATTTTTTTAAATGAGAAGCTGTCAAAATCATTCCTAAAATCCGCTTACTACGTCAATCTGGCCAAGCTTCGAAAACATTATTAGCACAGACAACTACTACGTTGAAATTGCCCGTGATAAATTGAATGAAGATTATGCAGCTCCTTTCTGAAATGCGATCAAGTTTCGGGATTGATAATAAGTATAACTAATTTTTGTTACAATGACGTGTCTTCTTATTACTCAATGAACATAGTGTTAACTTGAAGAACAATAAAGTTAAATGCGCATTTATGGTGTCCTCTAGGGAGTACATTGAAGTTGATAGCAAATTATGATTTCTCATGCCCAAAAACCCCTAATTTCGAAACTATCATGTATCCATATCCGAAAACTTCGAAGTAATTGCGAAAAATTATTTATACGATTTTGCATCTGACGTCTTCCTTATTAGCAACATTTTGAGACGACAAGTTGACCTAAATCGTAATATTTTGACGTCAAAAATCTTGAGGATCACCCTGTATACACGTCAAAATTCGACTGTTTGACACTTATATAGACAATAATAATAATGATAAACAGTTTGGTCATCATCTCAAATCTCAGTAGTTGGTTTTCTTCCGTCATCTACCATTGTTGTTCATTTTATTGAACACTTGGAAATCACGTTGTTTGCTTAATCATTAATGTTATATTTACTTTGCTGTTCATATTATTTTTATCGACTAAATGATTTAATTTTTTTTGTCATTTTATTATGTCGATTTCATTTTCACCATTTTTTCTATGAGCAAACCCAAACTTATTCTGCAGTTCTCTAGCTATCCTAGCAACGGGGCCACCTCTTTTCAAAACGCCCTGTAGAATGATGGGAAAAATATTTATGCATGCTTTGATTGTAGTGTATTCTATAAAAACAAATCAATATCCATGCTCATTAATGACAAATCGAGTTTGGAAACTAGGGTAATAAAAGATACTATTGCTGTTATCATATTGATGGTATCTCGAATTTATTATTTAACTTAGGTATGTTATAAAAAAAACGACTTAGGACAGTTATCACAATCATCACAAATTATCGATTGATGGAAAAGCAAATAGTATACTGAAAATTGAAATTCAGTTCCTCCAATGAGCTCCATTATTACACTTGATATCATGGGTACCTAATATAAAGTCAACTAAAACTGAGAATCACGTAACTTGATAATTATGCAAAAAACGCCAGCTTGTAACTTTGTAATTTTTCAATAATATTTCTAGATTCGAGCACAAATGTTTTAGTCCAATAAATAAAGGGAAAAAGTTAACATTCATTACGCACTATTTTCATCTTCCGGTTGGAAGTAGCTTTTGGTACCTCATTGAACATGAGACAAAGTTTGACTGGAAAACGCGTGCGATGGCGGAGAAAATGGCCCCAAAAGACCAGGAAAATAGGTTTTCAGCCAATATCTCCTAAAATATGGCAGTTGAAGATTTTCGGTTCAGATAAAAATTGAAGTTCAGTTAATTTTCTACAAAAATGGTCCTTAGCATTCTCGAAAATTTGCCCGGTTTCGAGAAAAACGGCACGAAACGCACCTCGAATAATGAGCTTCTGTGTTGTATGCCGGAGAGCACAGTCCGTGTATTTACACATCGGCGGGGGGACAAATTATTCAATAACTTTGTTAAAAATGCATATTTTCTCATGATTCAAAGTTCATGTGAAAGAGGAATTCTGCTGCTATCATACCCTGTGAATTGAGTCACGCTTGACTTTTTTGGCCATATCGGAACATGGGTCAAACTTTCTGCTCCCGGTCAATTTTGACCTCGCCAGGAATTTGTTCCTATTTTTTTTGTATTGCACTAATTTACTCAAAATTCTCTTGATTATGGGTCCTCATAAGGTCCTTTGTCATCCCTGAAATTTGTATACCCTAATTTTTTTTAATTTTCATTTAATCTTTGTTTATTGAATCCCAATTTTTTGCTGTTTTTGGAGCGCGGGAAAATTTTGTGAACAACCATCAATTAAAAATTTATACATGAACCGATTGGTTTCTATGGTACATCATTTGAAAGCTAAGAAGGTCTACTTTTCGATTGTGCAATTACTTTTTTAGACGAAGTCGTCCATTTTTCAATAAAATTAGGAAAAGCGGGGTCAAGGAAAAAACGCACTTTTTTTTCGGTGTTTTTTTCTCCGTGCTCTTCATTTCTAACATTTTAACACCTTAACTAGTGTAACGGCGGAATTCCCACCTTTCCATCGATGTATATAAGTCATACCTTTGATATCCCGGAAAAAAAAACAGTATATCTAAATGTACACGCTATAATTTATTACTTTCGTTCCTCCGTCGTTCGCCGCGTGTGTGCTCTACGTGGCGCTCGGGTCGTCTGCTACAAACCATGCGGCCACGCAGGGTATGATAGCAGCAGAATTCCTCTTTCACATGAACTTTGAATCATGAGAAAATATGCATTTTTAACAAAGTTATTGAATAATTTGTCCCCCCGCCGATGTGCTCTCCGGCATACAACGCAGAAGCTCATTATTCGAGGTGCGCTTCGTGCCGTTTTTCTCGAAACCGGGCAAAAATGATAGGGACCATTTTTGTAGAAAATTAACTGAACTTCAATTTTTATCTGAACCGAAAATCTCTAACTGCCATATTTTAGGAGATATTGGCTGAAAACCTTTTTTTTTTTTGGGTCCATTTTCTCCGCCATCGCACGCGTTTTCCAGTCAAACTTTGTCTCATGTTTAATGAGGTACCAAAAGCTACTTCCAACCGGAAGATGAAAATAGTGCGTAATTAACGTTAACTTTGCCTTTTTTTCCTCCTTCATTTATTGGACTATTTGAATATCATTAGACATTTCATATCATAACCTAACAATTTGAAAGTTCAATTCAAAAGGAACAAGCTATAATAATTAATGCAACACAATTAATTCTTCATTTCAAAATAGTTTTTGAATTAAACAGACATTTCATATCATAACCTGAAAATCTGAAATTTTGACAAAAGTAACGATATTTTCCATAGAACATGTGAGATTATTATGAATTTGGAACTTTGTGTCAAAATCAGTTTTCGAT